ACAGCTAACAGACGAACCCCAGACCTACATCTTTTCCCAAAGTTTTCTCTTGTATTTAAAGCACCACCATCTTTTCTAATTTCTATCTTCTCTCCAAAATCCCATCCCTGTTTCCACCCCACACCCGGCCTTTGAAGTCGATGAAGCCCATCTGGCTTCAGCACCTGCTGCCCAGGTGATGGTTCAAGGCCGCCGGGGACATTCCATCTGCACCATTCAGTACAGGAGCCACCACCCCCTGTAGCTCTAGAAGCATCTGAAATGTGGCCAGTGTGACTGAAGGAGTAGATTTTTAAATTGTATTTGGTTTTAGCTAATTCGAATTTCATTTCAAAGCCACCTTGCTGAGCAGCTACTTAGCTCACCTGTTCAGTCTGGCCCTCATCATTCCTGCCACCAGCCCCAGCTGCCTGCCCCCACCTCCCTCCCACACCTGCTCCAGAACCGCTCTCCTCCCAAGGTTGCCCCTTGCTCCCAACCTGCCTCGGACACCTGCCCCACGTGACTGCCTGGGCTCTTCCCCAGATGCTGTATTGGGACAGTGCAAATCGGAAGCACCATCAACTCTATCCTGCCAGCTGCTCTTACACGCCTGGCCATGCAGGCTGAGTTCCCTGGGCTTTCACACTCTCCCTTCCCCTGCCCGGGACTCTCCATGGCTCAACTCCAGAGCTGCTCCTTCGCACCCCGAGCTGCCCATTGCAGGGCTCTCCCTGCAGCCCAGGCCTGCCTGACCCCCGTCCCCACTCCAGTCACTTCACCAGTCCTGCCGGGACCTTTGGAAACCACCCCAGCCCTCACCAGCATTGGAAAGCTCTGGGAGAATTTAGGTAGCTCCAGAGCTATCTACCTAAAAAAAAAAACAGAACACACACACACACACACACACACACAGAGAAAATACAACGCAACAGCTACAGGTAGTGAGACAAGAAGAGATAGACCCACTAATAAAAGGAACCAAACAGCCCCTCTTTCCCTTTTCTTTTACTATAAGGACATACAGATTATCAGCAGATTTTTAAAATATCCTAGGGAAACAAGGACAACTCTAGAACTTGACACAGTGAAAGGTTTGCCCTGAGGGGTGGAAAGGCTGAAGATACACTAAGAACTCAAGCTCTGGAAGACGCAGGAAAGGAAAATCCCAGCCTTCAGCCCCGAGCTTGAGCCAGAGGACTGCCCGCTGTCCAGCAGCCCTGGGAAACATGGGGGCCACGTAAGTGGACCAGCCTGGTCTCTGTAGAGATGGTTTCTGAATGCTATTACAATGTCTGATCACACACCAGTGGGGTGAGAGGACCCAGGGGCTTGGAGGAAGCTGGAGCCCCAGAAGGATTCAGCCAAAGTCTACACTCCCAGAGGGGCTTTCCAGGTGGCGCTGGGGGTAGAGAACCCACCAGCCAATGCAGGAGATATAAGAGACATGTGTTTGATCCCTGGGTTGAGAAGATCCCCTGAAGGAGGGCACAGCAACCCATTCGACTATTCTTGCCTGGAGAATCACATGGACAGAGGAGCCTGGTGGGTTACAGTCCATAGCGTCACAAAGAGGCGGGCATGACTGAAGCAACTTAGAAACTAAATTCCTGGGGAGGGCCTGGGTGTGGCATCCAACTCCATCCACTCCCCATGAAGGGGAACTCATGCTTCTGGGTGGCATTTCATTCATTTTCATGTGCCTAGAGCTGGGCCAGGGTCCTGGGAAGCAGAGTTGTTCTCAGTGGTGATTTATGTCCCACCCTCGCCTTTATGAATGAAGGCGAGGGTGGGGGCAGGTATAGAGGGCAGAGTGGCTGATACTGAGGCAGATTCAAGGGTGGAACCAGGCCTTAGCAGGGGATAAACACACAGAATCACAACCAGAGAGGAGACCCTGTACAGAGAACAAGTCGGGCAACAGGGGTATTTGATAGGAATGAGGGAAACATAATCCCAGACTTCAATAAGCTCATGTGATCCTGTGAAAAAAAAAAAAATTACCTTCCTTTTGTGTGGGTTTATTTATGTACGAAGCTGACTATGCATACCCAAATACACACACTCCTGGGTAAAAATATCAGTTTACTTCCTTTCTGCTGCTGCTATGATGTGTGTGTCTGTCTGTGAGTGTGTGTTTAATGATCACAATACAGTTTTGAAAAGTTCATACATCTTTCATTTCAACACTGTTCTGCAAAAGTTTGACTGGGGATGTCAACAGAATCCAGAAGTCCGCTTTTGCAGGGAATGAGGTTTATGTTCAGAACAATAAATGATCCCAAGATAAATACGTTTCTTTTTTTTTTTAATCCTGGATGGTGATGCATCCTCTTTCCAATACAGAAACAGGGAAGCTTGGCTGTATTTAGTTTGTCTGATTGCTTTTAAGAGCAGGGGCAGGCTGGCTCCGAGAAACCATGGTCCTCTATTCATTAAAGTGTCAATAATGACTGGTCCAGGCATATCGACAGCAGATTAGCTGGGGCTGAGTCTGTGGACAAGACCAGAGCCTTTTTTAACCCTGCTCGTTTCCAGATCAATACACCCATCAGCATTCGAAAATTAGCCCAAGATGAGATTTCGATACTCAAGGAGGTGTGTCATGCTCAGAGGCCACCTCTCCAAGCCAGAGGTATAAATGCCGAGCTGCGGATTAGACACTTTCCATCAGCGTGGACAGGAGGGAGTATTGCTGTAGACCCCATCCCCTATGCCCTGCCCCTCACGCCTCCCCACCCCTATACACCCAACCTCCCCTCTTTGAGTCTGTGTGAGGCCTTGCGGCTACAATCCAGCCATTTGCTCAAGAAGCATTTGTTAAAAGCGCACTTTGTTGAAGACACCTGCCAGGTACTCTTGCCGAGAGTGCATGGGTGTGTGGGAGGAAGGAGAGGGGAACTTAAGAAAGAAATGGCACAAACATGATCCTTGTTTTCACGGGGGCTTCCGAGTTTCTCACAACTCCTTCCATTTTCCGGCTCCAAAAAAGCCCTGCTGCCTAACACAAGTGTCCTGATGGTGCAGGGCTCCTAAGGTCCTTCTGTCACTGTCAGACACTCTCAGCGGTAAGTGTGTGTGTGGAGGGAATGAGGCCGGGGGCATGGGGTGTGGCTTCAGACACACCACCTGCTGCGACCTGAGCCACTGGGGCATCCTTCAAATCCCCTTGCGGAAGAGTGATTCTCAGCCTTCTTCTGGCCAATTCTTCGCAAAAACAACAACACGCTCACCCACTGAAACCATCTCAAGGAACAAAACCTATTCTTCTGTTAGTGATACACTCTGATCCTGTCTCTGCAATTTCATTTCCTTTAAAAAATGCTGTTTGTACTCAGCAGTTTGAAAAATATTCATATATAGAACCAACAAAAGAAAAAAGCCATCATCATTTTCTTTTGGAAAAAGAAGAGGGAAAAAAAACAAACATAAAATGCAAACAACGTGGTGTGATCAAGGTGTGTCACAGCATGACGGGCTCAGAAGCCTCACTGGCCTAATCCCTGAGCAAGTGTCCCTCCAGCCTGACCTCTAACCATCACTGCCCACTGACTTGCCTTTCACAGTTGGCACCCTGACCCCAGCTGCCTTCTCTCCTGCCTTCTCCCAGCTTGCTCCCCGTGAATCTTCTAGCTCCTTCCTATTCATCATCCTTGAACCACCATCCTGCTCCCTGCGTTTTCACCCACCATCCACAGCTCTCTCCTCCCTGTGGGTGTGCTGCCAAGGGGGTTGTTGGAGACCGAGAGCATATTGCCCTTGGCCTGCCATCTAGAGGGATAAAGAACAGGAGAGAAACCCCAGCAGAGGCCCCAGCTCCATCACTTGGGGGCTTCACCTCTGAGGTAATAAAATAAGGTATCTGGTCCACACGCAACTATGATTTTTAAAAAGTTAAAAACAACTGTATCTTTTAAAAGTGAAAGCGTGAGTCTCTCAGTCATGTCCAACTCTTTGCGACCCCAAGGACTGTAGCCCGCCAGGCTCTTCTGTCCATGGGATTTCCCAGGCAAGAGTACTGGAGTGGGTTGCCATTCCCTTCTCCAGGGGATCTTCCTGATGCAGGGATCAAACCCACATCCCGTGCACTGCAGGCAGATTCTTTACCTCTGAGCCACCAGGGAAGCCCTAGCTAACACTTAAATAGCATTTTTGTGTGCGAGACCCCCTTCTGTTTCACATTCCAGTACATGGAAAGTGTAATCCTCACTGCAGATGCTTGCAACACTGATTCCATTCTACAGATGGAAACCCTGAGACACAGTTGGTAACTTGAGGTTCCCCCAAGTCAGAAAGCACTGGCTCGCTGACAAGGAACCTGTCTGTGTGGTCACCTGTGGTCTGAATGTTTAGCACGTGCTCTGCTTATGGGGAAGGACAGAAGCGCCAGAGAAGCACAGAGACAGCAGAAGTAAGAGAGAGGCAAAAACACAGACCTCAAAAGCTGGGGGTAAGGTGAGAGGCTCTGAGGAACGGGAGGGGAGTGGAGTGCAACCGAAACACAGAGAATCAGACGCAGGTATTAAAGGGGAGACGTGGCCCAGGGCTAGAGGGGAAATAGGAAGCAAGCAAGCTGCAAACAGCAGAGGTGGCTGTAACGGCTGCATCGCAGGTAGGTGTCTAGAGCACCGCAGTCGGTTCTGCCTTCTTTGCAGGCTGTGTGAGGGATGGCATATGCACAGAGCCAGAAGAGCTAACACACTGCTCTGAAAATAAAGCACGCTTAGCGCTGGATGGAACCTTTAAAAAACTCAGAGGAGAAAGAAACCAAGGAAAAAAATAATGAGGAGATAATTTTCTGAGACAATATATTATTGGATCAGGAGCAAAGAAAAGGCCCCAAATCCTAGTCCTATTCAATGGGAAAATGATTTGAAATTTCAGCATCTAAGGGCAAAGCGAAAATCAGGAAACCATCCTGGCCAGATGGAGCAGACAGTCTCATCTAAATTGAGGATCGCAGTGAAAGTGTCGGACACAGGCCCTCCCAGCCACCCCTGGCTGCCCCCAAGGCTGCCTACCTTGCACAATGAGGTGGACGCGGGAGGTCTTGGGGTGGTTGTCCGTCTGCACGGAGCAGGTGTAGGGGCCCTCGTCATACACGTCCACGTTCTGGATCTCGATGCTGTACTGGGTCTGGGTGTTGCTCAGGAGGACCACGCGGGGGTCTAGGCACCACTTGTCATTCCCAGCGTAGAGGATGGTGCTGCGGTTCAGCCAGGCCACCCGGGTGACCCGGTTGTCAATCGTGCACCTGGAGAGAGGACCAGATGGGTAAGTCAAGGGAGCACAAAGAAACAGATGCCATCAGGGTCTTCTTGGCAAGGCTGGGATGACTGGTCACCCTGCCCCCAGTGTATGCACAAGCATCTCCTGTTTGATTTGTCCTAGGTTTCAGCATCAGAGGCCTTGCAGAACTGCAGCCTCAGAACACTGGCTAATTCAGATTTGCAGGTCCTGACTGACTCTGTGTCTGAAAACCCCTGAGCACAGAGTGGTTTCAATAGTCCTAAATATTCAATAGTTACAGCCTGGAGTCATTGTCTATCCCAAGAATAGCTGGGCCCTGGGACTACCCCCAACTCCCCTCCCTCTGAGATTTCCATGATATGCATGATGATAATTCCTCACATTACTTTCTAAGTGTTTTGGGTGTATTAAGTTGTGCAATACTCATAACAACGCCATGAGGAAGGTCCTACTGGTGAAAAGAATTGAAGAACAAAGACACTGAACGCCTCTCCTAAATCACACAGATAATATGTGTTAGATCAGAAACCCAGACTTTAACTACTAAACATTCTTCCTCTCATCTTAGAATAGCAGATTCCAACAGAAGGCTTTTGAAGTCAAAACTAAATACAGACCACCACCATTGCTATTTCTCTTCATTACACCCAGGGGCAGAAATGTTCAATTACTGCTAGACTAAAGGCATTTTCCAAAATCTCAAAACTGTTCGCACGTGTAAAAATAGATCTTCTTTCTTTTATTTCTGCATCTGGAGTCCCCAAATTGTGGAAGCTCCCTTCTCTTTTCCTGCACTTTCAAATTTCCTAGCTACTCTTGCCAAGTCCTCTTCAAGTTTCTCTGCATTCATTTCCTTCTCTAGCTACACAGAATATGTTCTATGGCCTGAGGCTAAATTCACAAATGCAGTGTCCTGATCCTGAGTATAAGGCTGGAAATAGCAACAGAGCCACAGTAGGTACAATATTGCCTCCAATTTATATCTTCTTCTGCAGAGTACAAAGCGCTTTTACATCCACACTGTTATTCTTGCAGCAAATTGCTGAGATAGATGATCTTACCATTCTCCGCCTTCAAGATCAGGCCTCTAGGGTCAGAATGGTCTGATGACTTGCCCAGGACAGAGAGCAAGGGGGTGATGGAGTCAGCCCTCTCAGCTAGGTTCTAATTCCTAGTCCTGGTTCCCCTTAGGATGTGCAAAGGTGAGGTTTCCAGTGGGGAGGGACAGTGGCTTCCATTGAATTCTCAAAGTTGTCTGTGACCATAAAAAGCCTGAGGATTCCTGCCAGGCACGCCCGCTCCCCCCAGGCGGTCCCTCTCGAGACCGCTCTCCTGTGCTGTGCATCCTTTCCCCTCGTCCTTGTGTAAATGTCACAGGATCATTGCTGGGCCCTTCAGGCGCAGGTGTGGAGGCTTGCTGAGAGCCCCTGTGGGGAAACGGCTCAACCAGAAACACCTCTGTCCGCTGTCCAGCTCGCTTCGTGCCGCTTACTGCCTTTTTTTGTTTTTGCTCTTTTTTTTTTTTTTCTGGACAATAAAGGAGAGAAATGATGGGAAAGCTAACCAGGGGAGTATTTCTGAAAGTGGGCATGGACCACTTGCATCAAAATCAGGTGAGGTGTTTGTTACAGATCTTCTTGTCCTACAGATTCAGAATCTTTTGGAAGACAGACACACGGATTCCTAACAATACCCCAGTTGGGTCATGTACCCACCTAAGTTTGAAAAGCACGGATGTAGAGAGGGGTGTCCAGGACCAGGCTGCATGATTTGTAGTTTTCAGTGCAAAACGCAAATGCAGAACCCTTTGTTCAAGAATTATTAAGAATTTCAAGACGGTGAGAGCATGGCATTTAACCAGAGCAGGGTCCAATGTGAATAAACACACACCCTGAATGGATGTCACATTTTATCAATTTCCTTGGACTCTTACTGAAATGCACATTCTGATTTGGTACATCTGGGGTGGGGCCTGAGATTCTGCAGTTTCAGTAAGCTCCCAGGAGATGACAGTGCTGGCGGCCCCCAGACCATTTCTTCAACAGCATAAATCTAGAGGGAATCATATGCATATGAAGGCTTGAGGAGCACTGAGCTATTAATAGCACTTCACCACAGGAAAGTGCGATCAGAAAACCAGCAGATGAGCATCACTTGGGAGCTTATTTGAAACACAGATTCTCAGGCCCCCACCTCAGATGTAATGAACTGGAACCTGTATTTTAATAAGCTCTCCAGTCACCAGAAGGCACTTGCAGTCTGAGCCGGTCTAGAGCACATTTGATGTCAGCTGCGATAACAATATCCTGAACATACCTGGGAAAGTGCAGCCGATGGAGGAAGCACCTGAAGCTGGACCTCCCCTGAGGCTGCGCTTTCCTTGAACACCTGATGCTCTTCCTCTCAGGCTACCTCACTGAACTGTGGATTTGAACCATAATGGTGCGAAATCCCTAAAGAACAACACACTCCACAGCTTGCACCTGGGATGTCATTCATATTCATGACCTTAAGGGCAACACTGCTCAGGATTTTGCTTGGACGCAAATGGAGGAGTTGGCTAAACTCATACTCATGGCTAATGTTTACTGAACACAATACTATATGCTAGGTACCCTGCAAGTCTATGGGGTTTCCCAGGTGGCACTAGTGGTAAAGAACTCACCTGCCAATGCAGGAGATGTGAGAAATGCAGGTTCAATCCCTGGGTCAGGAAGATCCCCCAGAGGAGGGCACGGCAGCCCACTCCAGTAGTCTTGCCTGGAGAATCCCCCATGGACAGAGGAGTCTGGCGGGCTATAGACCATGGGGTTGCAAAGAGTCAGATACAACTGAAGCGACTTAGCACACACACACTGCAAGTGTATGCTGTGTGTTGTTTTAGCATCTCGAAAAACTTGGTTGGGTTCACTTATCACTGCCAACTTACAGATGAGGCTAACTGAGTCTAACAAATATTATCCAAATGAATTAAGATGACCCTGATAAGTAAGCTGCAGAAACAAGATTCAAACCCAGTTTTTGTTTGTTTTCCCTAAAGTCAGTATCTTGAATGTCCTTATCCAGGGCCTCTCAAAAGTCCCCATAATGGGATAAACTGAGAGAATAGCATGGAAATATATCCATTATCATATGTAAAATAGATAGCCAGTCGGAATTTGCTGTGTGACACAGGGAACTCGGCTCAGTGGTCTGTGACAGCCTAGAGAGGTGGGGTGGAGTGGGAGATGGGAGGCAGGTTCAAGACAGAGGGGATATATGGTATATCTGCGGCCGATTCATTTTAATGTGTGGCAGAAGCCAGCACAATATTGTAAAGCAAACAGTTTGCAATAAATTATATATTTTTTAAAAGTCCCCACAACACTTAAATTCAACAAGCACCAGAACCACCTGTAATTCCTGATAAAGGACAGACTGCTCGGCCCCTACCTGAGCTGGGGACCCCATTTTGAGAACCATTAATTTAGACATTTCCCTGGTTGTTGGTGACATGAAAGCCGCAGCACAATGGGCATGAGGAAATGACTCTCATTTAAAACACTTTTCTACTGCTTTATAGGAGAGAACTTTCTTACGACCGACATACTCTGACAAGCCAGAAGCAGAGTCCTGGCTATTTTCTCCTCCAGCAGCTTAAATGCAACCAGACACCAGGTGATCGGAGCTGCTGCAGGACAGGCTGATCAACAACCTCTAAACTGCCTGGTAATTGTTTCTGATGCCCGTCAAGGGAGCATCTCGCAGCCTCTTGGTGAACACGAGAGGACCACGCTGGGCTTTCTCGTGAGTGTCTAATGACTGGAAATTGACTGAAATGGAAGTGGTCTCACCACACTGCACCACACTCACAGGGCCAAATATGGCCATTTGCAGAAGCACTCATGCTCCAACACACCCAATTTCAGCGTGGTTAGGCGGCCCCCTTGTGAAATACTATATGGAAAAACTGGCACAGCTTCCATCCTGGCTTGGGGCACTTCCAAGGTCATGAGTAGATGTCCAAACTGTCACTGCTGGATATCAGTCTTGTTGAGTCTCCACGGAATTAATGTGGCTTCTGCAGAGCTGGATCACAAAGGTAACCTGGCAGCCAACTCCGGGCCCTTCCTCACACCTGCCCCCTTCTATCTGTCTCATTTATCGAGTCTCTACAACAATGTACAGGAGACATTTCTCCCAGATAGTTTAAAAAAAAAAAAGTGAAAAGAGCATAAGTGCACTTCCAAGCAGAACCGAAGCTTCGGTTAGTGGGAGTCGGGAGAAGACTGGGTAGAAAACTCAGTCACCAGGCTTTCTTTTTCCAGGGATAGCCCTTAATTCACTTCGACAAAATTACTCCTAAAATCAGATGTATTTCATTGCTATTTCAACTCCCCCAGGAAGGGGATCAACTGTAAAATTAATCAGGAGTAAGTAAAGCTTCAAACTCAACCGGCCCTAACTAATCCAGGTGAGAGTAACAAGACATGGCTACTTGCCACTGGAGAAGGAGTCATAGGCCGGTGTGAGGCAGGCCAGGAAAAGAAGGAAAGAGCCAGGAAGGACGGGAGACTCCCTGCCCCAACCTTGAAGGTCTCCATCCCTCTCCCACAACCTTGAGATGCACCAGACACCCACCCTGAGCATCCTTTCCTCTGCCCGTCCTGCGACACATGCAAAGAACAGAGGAACAACCTCAGCACACACTGGGCTTCCAGCCTGAGCCCTGGGACTCCCCAAACTCCAATCATCTCTCCATTCAGAGTCTCAGTGCCTGCCCTCACTTGCGTCTACACTTCGGCCCTCCAGCCAGTAGCCCTCAGCCTTACCTATTTCTCTGAAAGATCTTCCCTTCTCACCAGGCTGGAGGCTCTCCTTTCCCATGTGTAGACCCCTCCTTGGACCATGCATGGCCTCGCCTGTATGCAACATCCTGGCAGAATCCAGACAGACAGAGAAAACCTGGGAGGCATGGCTTGTTCACCCCTTCACTGCTGTGCCCGTGTCTTTCTCAGTATGTCT